AGAAAGAAAGAAAGAAAGAAAGAAAGAAAGAAAGAAAGAAAGAAAGAAAGAAAGAAAGAAAGAGAAAAAAGTCAAATTGCTTTTCTCCTACCCTGACTCTAGCCAGGCTGGGAGGCTGCTCCAGAGATAGGCCTGGGACAGACACCAGGAAACAAAGATGACAACACTCTTTTGGAATGAGGCCAAAGCATCTGCCACAAGACATTACTGGCCTCTGCTTGACCACATATTCCCTCGGCTACCCCAGGAGCATTCTCTTTTATGTATTCAAAGGGCTTCACATGCCAGGCTGTGGCAAGCAGTTCTGACTATTGAAGCACTAGCGTCACTCCTGAGATGTGTTAGCAGCATTCGCGAGTGCGATGAAGGGTAGGCCTGTCTCAAGGAACTGGAGACACAACCAAATCCATGTATCCTCGTCTTCGTATTTCAGATTTCCCCCATTTGGACCGAAATGGTGATCTTTGGGCCTGCTCTGCCTCTTGCTGAGTCTGGCAGTCTGAATATCAAATCCAGATGAAGCTAAAGCAGCCAGAGCTCTGGGTCAGTGGCCCAAAAAGCTCACGGGGAGCTGGCAACATGCCTCTCGCGTCTGCGGTGCCAGCTCATGAAGGAGAGCAGAACCCGAGCTCAGGCTGTGCGTGTCACCTCATTTCTACCCGCTGCTCTGCTTGTGGGAGATTTGATGTTATTTACTCCTCAGTGAGGCGAGGCATGACCACGAGGTCCTGTGATTCACAGAGCCTCTCACAGAGCTAGGCAGGTGGCAAGTGGAGAGCTGGGGCAAGCAAAGATGTCAGGAGGGTGAGGGCTCCCACGGCCGCCAACACACCCCTCCCCACACACACACCAGGAAACCTCCCCACCAGGAAACCAGCCAGGGCCCCTTTCCCCAGCAGGGAACGGGTGGTGGTGAGTGAGTCCAGAGCTCGCTCCGGGCAGTGGTCTGCATTCCTACCTGCATTTCGTTTTTAATCCATCCAACTCCTTCTCCATTGGGGCCTGGTCTTCAGCCAGCCACATGACATGGTAGTCTCTCCCGCCTCCCCCATTCGGCTTGTCTGGGTCCCTCCCCTCCCTTGCTGTCCAAGCTTCTGTACCTGTGTTTCAGAATGAGAGAGGAGAGAGAGAGAGAGAGAGAGAGAGAGAGAGCTGGAGAAGCTGAGGAGACCGAGGCTCCAGCACATGCCGAAGCAGGAGAAGGAAGAACCTCAGCCACTCCGCAGGCCCCTGGAGGGCCCAAGATTGATGTTGGAGAGGCAGGCAGGCGCTGAATCATGCAGGGAGCTGCTAATGAATTGGGATCTTGCCGGAGGACAGTGCAGGGCTATGGAAACAGTTCAAGCTGGAACCCGCCATGAACACTTTGGCACTAAATTAGCCACATTTTTCATAGCATTAGCCAATGATAATCAACTTGGCCGGCATGACCCTGAGGCCCTGCAGGAAGCTAAAGCAAAGCCTAAGAAAGGCTCTGTTCACTGCTCCATACTTCCAGGGCCAAGTCCACTGTACTGTACTTTAATTCTTAGAGAAGTGATACATTCTTTGCAGGAAGGACCCTTGTATTTTTTCTCTTATTTCTGAAAATGCCTGGAACAATGCATGGGCACACCAGATCGATTTGTCCAACAAATATCAAGTGATGAATTCATATAAGCTGTGCAATTATCCAGTCCTAAGTTCTAGTTATGTAAGGCAATGAGTGAGCATTCCGGTGGAAAGTAGAAACGAGGGTGGGGACGTGGACTTTAGAACAGCAAGATGTTAAAGGACGAGTGTGCTTGGGGTATTTGTTGGAAGTTAGACTTCTATGTCATGGAAGGCCATTGGTTTTCATCACCAACCCAACGAGAAAGCTGTTCCCTTCAGGCCACAAAACGGCCGAGGGTTATCGCTGACTTCTGGTAACACAATGTGAAATCAGCAGTCGAACCAGAACCCCTTTCATTTGCAGGGAGGGAGGAAGTGGGGTGTGAGGAAACCAGAGAATCACATGGAGGAACGTGGTCTGGGGGAGGGACTAGGGAACGTGGATCCTCCAAAGCAACACTGTCTTGACAAACAGTCTGGAACCCAGGCTCACTCGTTCATTTGTTCAACGGCTATGTGTTGAGCCCCTCCTGTATCTGGGATGCCAAGTACAACAGCGACCAGAACAGGCACCCCCTTGTCCCGTAGCTCATGAAGATTCCCCTGAAGCAGGGGACACAGGCTTGAAACACCTTCCGAGCACATAATAACAACTGCGGGAGGTGCTGTGGATGAAAACAGCAGAGTGTCCTGCTGTGAGAGAGAAGGGAGCCCTGCCTTCGCTGGCTGGGGGTCGGGCAGCTCTTCCTGAGGAAGAGTCAGAGAAGGATGAGTAGGAAAACACCAGGACGAGACTGATGGGGAGGGGTCCCCTGCAGGAGGAGGGGGGCGCTCCATGCCAGGGCTCAGGTGGAAAAAGCCGGTGAACATGAGGAAGAGAAAGGGTGGAAGTGCCCGTGAAGGGGTGCACACTGTGGAGAGGCTGAGGCGAGAGGCCTAGAGGCGGATGTCGGCAGCAGGAAACGGTGAGAAAGGATGAGGGCCTTCCACGTGGTCCACAGCCTCTCTTCCAACTCAGCACAGGCAAAGGCACCAGCAGCCTCCCCACATGTCGGAGGCTGGGATTGGCAGGAGGCTGGAGAGGACGGACAGAGAAAAGTGGAACGAGAAAGCCCGGGCCAGGCTGACTTGGCGTGGACTGCCACCTCCCAGCGTGGCCTTGCGCAACTCAACTTCTACTCCATCGATTGAAGATGAGAACACGCACCCTAAAGGGTTGTAAAAAGAAGTGTATGGGGGCGGGCGAAATGGGTGGAAGGGGTCAAAAGGTACAAAGCTCCAATTACAAAATAAATAAATGTCCTGGGATGTCATGTACAGCATAGTGACAATACTTAATAATACTGTATTCATTATCTGAAAGTTGCCAATGAGTAGATATTAAAAGTCCTTATCCCAAGGGGGGAAAATTGAGGGGGGGGATGGGGGTAACTAAGTGCCTATGTATGTGATGGATGTTAGCTAGCTTTCTTGTGATCATTTTGCAATGTATACAAATATGGAACCATGATGTTGTACACCTAAAGCTAATACACTATTACATGTCAATTGTATCTCACGTTTTTAAAAGAGGGATTGCAGGTAACTGAAGTCAATGCCAGGCTCAAGGAGAGTGTTCCGTGAATGGCTGTTGCGTTCCTGATGGGAGGAGGGAGTTATCGGAAAGGCACCAGGAGGCAGTGTCAGGACAATTCTGGGGAGTGTGGTGGGAGTTTTGGGCTAGAGCCGTCCGGGCCTGACCGCTGAGTGTGGGCACCGATGCCACCGCCAGAGGAAGGGGCAGCAAAGTGGGGAACCGGGGTGCCGCCGATGAGTGACTTGGGGGAGTAAGTGAGAAGCGGCGAGCGGAGGGGGCGGAGCAAGAGGAGGAAGGAGAAGGCTGGAGGGGAGGTCCGAGGAGAGAAGTGAGGGCCCGCAGGGGAAGAGAGGTGAGGGGCCCTGGGGCCCTGGGGCCGCCGGGAGAGAGGCG